CCTGCCCGCCGGCTGCGCGCCGCATGGGGAGCCCCGGGCCAGGCGGCGGGAGCGGCGGCCGAGCCTAGTGGGGACCCCGGAGCCACCGGTGCCCCGGGCCGCCCCGGGGCCGCCGGGCGCGCCATGAAGCCGGCGCGGCTGCTGCTGCTGCTGAGCGGGTGCGCGCTGCTGCTGGCGCCGGCCGTGCGCGGCTGCGGGCCGGGCAGGGTGGTGGGCAGCCGCCGCCGCCCGCCCCGCAAGCTCATCCCGCTCGCCTACAAGCAGTTCAGCCCCAACGTCCCCGAGAAGACGCTGGGGGCTAGCGGCCGCTACGAGGGCAAGATCGCGCGTAACTCGGAGCGCTTCAAGGAGCTGACGCCCAACTACAACCCCGACATCATCTTCAAGGACGAGGAGAACACTGGCGCCGACCGGCTCATGACCCAGGTACGGCACCGCTGCCGCCCGGTTCTACCCCCGCGCCGGGCATCTGCGGGCACGGGGCTGTCTCAGAGCGCCCTGCTACCCGCTCTCCGGGGACCGTGTGGGCTTCCCCGTCCTGCCCCGGGCATCCCGGTGCCGGGTCCGGGCTGCCGGCGTGCAGCGAGTGCATCTCCCTTCGTCGGGCGCTCTGTCCCTTCGGCTGCGCTGTGCGCGACGGACAGCACGCTGCGCCTTGGGACGGCAGCACCCTGCTCCCGGAACCGGCAGCACCTTGTCCCCTGAGATGGCAGCACCCTGCCCCGCTGCTCCTCGGAGCCTGTGGCACTCGTGTCTTGCTGCACCCCGAGGAACGCCCTTGTGACTCCTGAGCTGGCAGCACCCTGCATTGCTGCCCCTCAACTCTCGTCTCACTGGTCCCCAGGCTGGCATAACCCCGCACTCCAAGCTGGCAGCAGCCGGCCCTGGTGCCCCTGAGCTGTGCCACACTGCCCCCGATCCGGCAGCATCCTCCCACATCCCCTCGATCCGGCAGGGCTGTGCTGTGCTGTTCCCTGGTCAAGCAGCACCCCAGCCCATGCAGGCATCCTGCCCGTGCCCCTCTACTCTGCCTCCCCACTGGCAGAGCAGGCAGGCTGCCCGTTGGATCCGAGGGACAGACCAGAGCCTGGTGTGCTGCTGTGTCCAAGAGTGCTCTTGCTGACCTTGTCCCCAGTCTGACACTGAAACCCTCAGTGCCCCCTCTTTCTGCATGTCTCGTGTGGGATGGTGCCGGGTGCTCAGTGGGAACTGCTTGCTGTGCTCAGGGCTGGGGACAACCTGTTACTACAAATGCCTTGTTGCAGTCAGCTCACAAGTACTCTGGGCCAGCAGGAAGGATGGGGGGGTGGACGGCACAGACGACAGCAGAGGAGGGGGGGTGATGCTGGACGAAGGTTATTCTGTGTTTTAATATTGCCAGGAGAATGCCTGAGGGTTTCAGGAATGCAGATAAGGAGCCGCACGGCCTTGCTAAGAAACCTGGCTACCAGCCTCAGCAGGGTTACAGCCTGAACGAGCTCCTGGGGGAAGCAGAGGGGAGCTGGGCTGCCCTTCTGCCCACTGCACCCCCTGGCCAGGGGCTGGCAGGTGGGTGAACATGTGTGACTATGATAGTGGGCACTGAGCAAGGCCCTGGCCATAGTGTCTGACCAAGGTGTTCATAACATTGGGAGGAGAAGCTTCTTGGGTGCTGGCTTGACAGCTCTGCAACCCTGTGTGCCCTGAGAGCAGGTCCCTTAGGGCAGGGACATAGTCCAGGCTGTTTTCAGGCTGGGGACTGTAGCAGAGGGACTGGGATCCCCTGCAAGGCAGCAAACTTGGGGAGTTACACAAGTTGTGGTTGCTGGTGACTGGAGTCCTGGGGCTGGGCTGTAACCTGCCTCCCCTGGGGAACAGCTTCAGAGATATTTGAGGAAGCAGTGAGCTCCTCTGGTCGATACATCGGGGAAGTGCATGACTTCATTGGAGGCAGGAGAATGCTTCTTGCTGTGTTTTCTCCTGAGAGTGCTCCCTCCACTTTCTGTAACCCAGCCAGTGCCCCTCAGCACACCTGGGAGAGGGAGATCTCCGTGTCCCTTGTGCCAGCCTAACATTTCATGCTGTACCATCCTTTCATGCTGCCTTGTTGGCTGAGTACCTAGAAGCATCCTGGTCTTCTTGGGCTGCACAAATAAGGGTTCTTACTCCAGCAGGGTCCCTGGCCGCCACACATCCATGCACAGATGGGTACCACCATGCCTTGGGCAGTTCTGCAAGGAATTGTTCCTCTTGCTATGGAGGTGGCAAGATTTCTGGTAGCTTGCTGCCATCCCACAGCCCTGTGGGATTGTCCTGTGGTCCCTGACTCGGGGAGATCCCCCCAGATATGGGAACTCTAGCTCTGGCACCATGTCCTGTGTTGCTATGGGTTGGGAAAGGCCATTGACCCAACTCCTTGTCCCTTCCCCCAGAGCACTGGCTTTTACTGCTGTTGACTCACTTCAAACCTGTTTTCTTTCCCCAAGTCCAAGGGTCTGGGTGTCCCAGGCAGCCGGAAGATGTCGCCTGCTTAGAGGAGTGGGTAGTGCTGCTCTCTGCCCGCCTTTCCTTTATCGTTTCATCTTCCTCAAGAATTCCAGTATGTTTGCTCTCACTGGTCCCACTCGGAGGTGCTGAGATAAGGCTGGAGGCAGAACCCGCCTCACCTCTCCCCAGCAGCCTGGCCCAGGAATGCCATGGGTCCCCTGCCCCCATGGAGTCCCAAACCCAGCCTCTCCCTACCCCAACCATCATTCCTTGCAGCCACTGCTTGTCCAGCTGACACGGAGACCATCCTTGCAGTGGTGAGGAATCTCTCATGAAGACCTTGGGGTAGGACTTTTGGCTTCCTTTGGGGGAAAGCTCCCTTCAGGAGGAGATGCTAGCAAGACCCCTCTTCTTCTGGCCAGGCTCTGGACATGGGAGTAGCTGTGGCCAAGCACACTCTATTCACAACACCTCTGCTGAGACTGTGGTCACACATGAGTGTCTTTCATACTTCCCCTGAGATGACCCTGGGCTCCCTGCTGACTGCATCCCATCTTGGAGCTCTGTCCTGCTGCTTTCCCTAAAGTGGTTTGGCTTGCCCCACAGGACATGGTCCTGTCCCCACTAGGGACACAAAAAGGGAGATGCAAAGGTTGGGCAGAAGGTGGGGGCAGAACTTCTTTGCTCAGCCCAGCCCAACATCCCCATGATCTTCACCATGAGATGCATGGGACAGCAGAGCCACCAGCTTAGTGTGGTCATATGGGGCCCCATTCTGCATGTGAGCTGGGGGTGCCTGGTCATCTGCACCACTACAGGGACAAGCTGTGCCCAATCACCATCAAACACAGAGCCCATGGACAGCCAGCCCATATTTATGAATTTTCTGGTCCCTGCCTACCTGTTCGTACAGGCAGCAGAGTCCTGGGCAGGCACTGCCCATCCCTACCTACTTCCTGCAGCTCGTGTGTGCCCCCTGACCACTGCTGCCTGCTCCTTACCCATCGCTGTCCATCTCTGCTTTTTGTTGTCTCTCTGCCTCCTGTGCCTGCTCACTGCACATCCCCACCTGCTCAGCCTTGCCTATCACTGCTTGCTCCCTATTTATTTTCGCTCATCCCTGCCTGTTTCCTCCTCATATTTGCTTCTTCCCTGCCGATCCATGGTTGTTCCTCATCCGCTGCTGCCCTGCTGACCATTTCCCCACCCGTTCCCGACCTGCCTGGTTCTTGTCCATCGGTACCTGGCTCCCTGCCGGTCCCCGCCCGTCCCCTCCCTCGCTCTGACACCTGCTGGCCGCCGATGGCACCGGCAGAGCCGGGGACAGGCTGCTCCAGGGCTCTGCCTGACGCTGTCCCTGCCTGGGGGAAAAGGCTTGCACAGTCTCGTTGTTTTTGTGCGTGCAGGCTGCCCCTGGAGGACAGAAAAGCTGGCAGTGAGGGCCGGAGGGGTGCCCAGAGTGCTGGCATGGTAGGGGCAAGGGAATGCCTGGAGTGATGGCTGGGGGATGCAGGGGGGCTTCAGGGATTCCCTCCTCACTTCCAGTGCTGAACTCCCTTGCTGCAGGGTCCCGGTGGGGCCGGGGACCTTGGGAACAGCTCGTCACATGTGCCAAGTGGCACCACGGTGGTGCTGGACGGGGACAAAAGTCACTCTCCTCCCTATTCCTCCTCCCCTCACCTAGCAAACTGTTTGTCCAGCACCTTCCCGGCTTATCTCCCCACACCCAGAGAGATGTGGGATGACGGCAGGCCTCATGTGGGGCAAAGGCCTGCCTGGCACTGCCCTTCCCAGGGCCTGGACCCTGCCAAGTGAGAGCAGGTTTCCTCAAGAGCAGCAGCGCCCACCTTCCTGGGACAGGAGCAGGTGCTTGGGGATAGGGTGAGGATCCACATTTTCAGTCCCTGCAGAAGCAGTGTTGGGGCATTTCTGAGCCTGGGGATGTAGCCAGCATCAGGTTTTAAAGCCCTGGCTCATTCTTGCTGTAACTGTCTCAAGACCTACGACATGCTACGGTGGGGAGCTCCAGAACTGAGCTGGGCATCATGCAGAAATGCCCCCAGCAGTGGCTGTGTTTTAAGCTGCTGCCCAGTCATTTCATTTAATGCTTCCCAGGACTGGCTTTATGCATGACCATGAATGCTCTGTCCCCTGCCTTGATTTTATGGGACTCCTTGTTTCCTGGGGAATGGCAGTGAGAGGAGCCCTGGAGTCTTTTACTTCTGTTGAGCCAGAGCTCTCCCACCCAGCAAGCACTGGGTGGTGACAATGGGACTCCTGATCCAGCTGGCTGCCCCAGAACCAGCTGTACCTGTAGGTGTGAACCTCAGCCTTTGGAGCCGGAGTAAAAACACCCCAGTCTCAGCTTGCCTCTTAAATTGCCTTAAGTTTTATACAGTTTCACTTGGTGTGATTCTTAGGGTGTGCTGTGCAGGGCCAGGAGTTTGATCCTATGGGTCCCTTCCAACTCACTCAATTCTATCATTCTTCAGGAACTCACAGAACCTCCTTTCTGGGCTGCACAGCCCTAGTTCATTCACGTGGTTTTCTGTAGAACTTCCCATATTCCTTTTCCTATGCCTTTTCTATCTCTCCTCCATCCCTTTAGCAAGAGACCAGAAGCTGGGGCTGTACTTCAGCAAGTCAAGCACACAGAGTTTTGATCTTTCCCTGACCTTCAGCTGTGGCTGGGGCATGTGGGGCAGGGGAGGACTGTGAAACAGGCATCCCTCTGCTTGCTAGGGAGGACTGCCACAGGCACCTGCTTGCATGTGTGACCTATGTGACCATGAGGTCTGGGGCTTTTAAGATCTGCTGCTGTTCCTCAGCCCAGGATTTTCAGCCCTTGTGGTGCAGAGAGGTGAAGGGGGCTTCACTCCACATTCTTTCTGTTCCAGCACAACAAAGCTCTTGGGACAGGTTTGGCACTTCCCATAGGAGCAGAGACTGGCTGAAGCTGTGGGGCTGCCCAGTGCTGTGTCCTGTGTGTTACACAGACTTGAGGAGCCATACCAAGCAGAGTTGTGTTGAGGACTGGGCAGGTTGTTTCATTTGTGCCTGGAGACAGCCCTGGGGTCTCTGGGACCTCCTCCCAGGCAGGAAGCAGCAGGATTGAAGCTCCTGTATCCTCCTCCTGTCAGATGGGAGCTGCTGGGGTACAGTTAGCACAGGGCAGGTGAGCAGAGAAGGTGTTTCAGCCCAGCCCAGGCTGCGTTGCCCAACAGGCTCTCAAATGAGCCTGGGGCTGGGGGGAGAGGGAGGAGAAGGGTGCCCTGGTGGCTGCACTCTCCTCTGCCCAACAGTGGGGTATCAGCCTCTGCAGGGAGTTTGGAGTAGTGTGGGGGTAGACAAAGCACATCATGTTCTCAGATCTTCCTCTGCTGGACCAGCCCCCAAGGGCCTGAGGGCCCAGGGAGGCTTAATGGAAGCATGGTGGGATGCAGCCTGCCAACCAGACAGCTAATTCCTCCCTCCAAAAAGCTTTCACTGACTCAGTCCCTCTGCCCTGCAGCGCTGCAAGGACCGCCTGAACTCGCTGGCCATCTCTGTCATGAATCAATGGCCAGGGGTGAAGCTGAGAGTGACGGAGGGCTGGGATGAGGACGGGCACCACTCGGAAGAGTCGCTGCATTATGAGGGCCGAGCTGTGGACATCACAACCTCGGACAGGGACCGCAACAAGTACGGCATGCTGGCTCGCCTGGCCGTGGAGGCTGGCTTCGACTGGGTCTACTACGAGTCCAAGGCACACATCCACTGCTCCGTCAAGTCAGGTAAGTCTGAGCTGGGGGGCAGTGAGCGGAGCTGGGGGACAGGCCCCCTCTTGCAGCATACCCGGGGAGCCTGGCTGGCTGGGTGGGGTGCTCCTGCAGGGGGTGCCGGCTTTTGCATCCTGGTTTCTCTATCTGGGGCAGACAGTCAGGTGGGGAGTGAGTCACACACCTGTGGCCAGCCAGTACAATGGGGCAAATTCCCCAACTGGCTCCCATAGACCTACATCTTGACCCACTCTCTCTACCCTCTTCCTTTTCTCAGCCCACATCCCTTTGTCCCCCAGCCTGATCCCCCAGTATGTCCATTGCCCCTGTCTCCCCTTGCAGTCCCTTAGTGCCCATGCTCAGCCTCATCCAGCCCTGCCCCGCTCCACTGCTGGCTGCTTTTGAGCTTCTGCTGTCACAGCAGCATCTGTCCATCCCTGCCCAGCCAGGGACAGGGTCAGGGACATCCAGACAGGGACATCCAGGCCAGGGTACCCTGGGATCGGCTCTTGGCTGTGCAGCACCATCTGCGGAGGGGAGCAGAGCTGGGTGGTGCTTTGAGGGACGCTGTCGTCGCTGGTGGTGTTTGCCTCCTCCTGCGCGGTGCAGTGGGGGCGGCAGGGTGGAGGACGGGGCGAGAGCTGCTCTCAGGCGCTGCCCGCGCTCCGGAGGGGATCGCGTGGGCTGCAAGCCGCCCCGCAGCCCGGGAGAAGCAGCGTGCCCGGGACGCGGTCCCGGCGGAGCGGCGGCGCCGCTGCGGGCTGCAGAGGGCAGCAGCGCCCCGCGCACGGGCCGGGAGGGGCCGCGCTGCGCCCGTGTCGCGACAGGCCGGGAGGGCTCTGCCTGGCCCTGGGCTTGCTCGGGCACGGAGGCGGCCTCTGCCGCTGCTGGCAGCCGCAGCCCGTGCAGCAGGGCCGTGCGTGCACACGGAGCCCCCGCACACGCAGGCACACACGGCCGTGCCAGCACACACACCCGGCCACGGCCGTGCCCGCACAGCCGTGTGCCACGCACCGGGCAGTGCCGGGGCCGGTGTGCCTGTGCTGCCCCGCGCCTCCCGCCCCCGGGCGCAGCTCCCACGGCACTGTGCCTGTCCTACCGCCCTAGCCCGCAGCCAGCGGCTCGACAGCCCCAGACGCCAGCCTGGGCCCCCGCGCTGACCCGCTCCCCGTGCTGATGCCAGGACGGGCACAACGCCGGCCGGCGATGGAAGTGGGGCCACCGCGCCGCAGAGAGGGAGTGATGCACCCCCGAAGAAGAGGGACAAAACGTGGCCGGAGGACCGGGACTCCCGTGCCCCGGGGCACCCTGTGGGGCCGGCAGGAGGAGTGGGGCCAGGCTCCGAAGCAAGGACCATGACCCCACAGCTATGAGGCTGGCCAGAGGAGTGGGGCTGTGCCCCTGGAGAAAGACAGAGGCTTTTGAATCGTGGGATGCTCCCCTTGGACCTACTGAAGAGGGATGTCATAACCCAAGCAGCAGACTGGGGCCTTGAGGCTCTGAAGGGCTTCTAGAGGCTGGTCATATTCCCCTCACACTGCAGCAGCTCCTCAGGGCTCTGGGTCCCCCATATTTTTCCCCAAGGCCATGGGCAACCCAAGAGTGTGTGGTGGAGGCTGTGGGGTACACATCCTGATCCCCTCAGAACTGTGTACAGAGGGCAGCCGGGCTGCTCCTGCCTCTTAGTAAATGGCTTTTATTTTTGTATGGATGGCCACGTGGCCTGTTGTATGTATTGTGTCTCCTCGGGTCCTTCCCTGCACCCACCTACCCCTCCATGCCCAGCACCTATGCCATCCACTTCTGCCAGGCACCCCTCTCACCCTCCTGCTCTGCTGCCTGCCAGGGGATGCAGGGTACAGGACTTGGGACCTGGCCTCCGGGGCAAGGACAGGGCAGAGACTGCACCTCTTCTGAGCAATAAAAGGATTCTGTCCCAGAGATGGATGCCTCTCTTCATGGGCTTGGGGGCTGGGATTTGGCTCTGCCCAAACCTGGGGAGTGATGGGGGCAGTGCCATCTGGGAGGGCACATTCAGGGATTAGATGAGAGAACTGGAAGAGGGTCCTGAGAGGTGGCTTAGAGCTCAAGGATGGAACTGTGCAGAGCTAGGAGCAGGACCCTGAGGTGAGATGCCACTGGCAGAGGGTGGGACAGGTATCACATAGACACTAACTTGGGAGTTTCTGGGACTTGGGGGAATGCTGCTGCTGGTGAAGCTAACCACCATTCCTTGGGGAGCCAGGGTTCCCCTGCTAAGTGCCAGAATGGGCCTCTGGTGACACTTCATCTCGGGAGGGATAGGAGCTTTGTGCCACCACCCAGGAGACAAGCCCAGAGAGTGTGGGTCCTTTACCCTGTGGCAGTCACTAGGGAAGCCCTACCCAGAAGGCTGGTAGCTTTTGCCCGATGATGGCCACAGGTTGTGACAACTCCCTACAACCCAGAGAAGCAGGAGCTGACTGGCATCAGTGGTGCAGGGGTGAGCAGGTGGGAGAAGGGAGCAGGACTGCCGCGTGGGGTGGAGGGGCGCTGCAGTGCTGGGAAACGGTGCTGCATCCTGCACTGTTCCTCGCAGCATCCTCCCAAGCAGAGCCCAGCACCAGCACTGCAGGGAACAGGGATGCTGCGGGGGTATGCAGAGTGAGACCAGGCATTCTGCTTCCCACTGTCTCGGGGCCCTGCCTTTGGTTTTTCAAGCTTCAGGTGGCCCTTGGTAGTGTTTTGCACATTTCAGGCTGTGGTGGTGTCCCACTCCCCCTGCCTATTTTGGGCTTGGGACCTGGCTCTGTACAGCAGGCTCAATGCCCTGGGACCATGCTGGAGTGCCCAGGTGCCACCTCAAGTGACATGGTGGCTGGGGGATGAGATGCCTAGGGGACATTGGTGGCCAGGACTGTGTAGGAGACAAGCTCACATTGGTGATGCCAAGGCAGGGTTATGCCTGGGTGGGCAAAGCCAGGCAGACTGGGAAGGTGTCTGTGCACAGTGGAAATGTGGTGCTGAGGGTCTGGCTGATGGGTAACCCTCCTGTCCTCTCTCTCCCTGCGCAGAGCACTCAGCCGCTGCGAAGACGGGGGGCTGCTTTCCCGGGCGGGCGCTGGCAACGCTGGAGGACGGTGCCCAGACGCCACTGTGGGCACTGCGCCCAGGCCAGCGAGTGCTGGCAATGGACGGGGCAGGCAGGCCCACCTACAGTGACTTCTTGACTTTCCTGGACAAGGAGCCCCGTGCCCTCACCACCTTCCATGTCATCGAGACCCAGGAGCCGCCCCGGCGCCTGGTCCTGACGCCCACCCACCTGCTCTTTGTGGCAGAGAATGCGTCGGCGCCCGCCGCCCGCTTCCGTCCCATCTTTGCCAGCCTTGTGCACCCGGGACACTTCGTGCTGGTGGTGGCTGGGGGGGGCAGCTTGCAGCCTGCTGAAGTGGTGCGGGTGTGGGACCGGAGAGACGTGGGAGCCTACGCCCCGCTGACACGCCATGGGACACTGGTGGTGGACGGCGTGGTGGCCTCGTGCTTTGCTCTGGTGCAGGAGCAACAGCTGGCACAGCTGGCCTTCTGGCCGCTCCGGCTCTACCACAGCCTGGTGGGGTGGCCAGGGGTACAGGGGGATGGTGTGCACTGGTACTCAGGGCTGCTCTACCGCCTGGGCAGGCTGCTCCTGCCCCCTGACAGCTTCCACCCACTGGGAATATCCCAGGCGGAGAGCTGAGGGTGCACCACATCCCCAGCCAGCACAGTTGGGGGGGTGGTGGTTGCAGGGGGACTCAGTGGGGGCCAGCACCCCCTCCCAAAGCTGGGTGCCCCTGGGGAGCTGCCTCTAGCCCTGCCTGCTTGGGGTACAGCCACCTCCTGGTTGGGGGGCACCAAAGCTCCATGGTGTGCCTCCTCCATGATCACCACCCCCCCTCCTCACCCCCTGTTCCTGGGGACAGGAGGGAGGCATGAAGGGTTTCCCCCGGGACAGGGGCTGCCCCTGGCTGGATCCACATGCTGCTATGTGTGTGTGTGTGTGTGTGTGTGTGTATGCAATGTGTGTGTGTGTGTGCTGAATTAGCTGATGGAGGTCTGAATGGGAGGGGGAAGAGGAGAGAGCCCTGGCTGCTCCACTGAGGTTCCCAGCCTGTCTGCACCCAGTGGGGAAGTTTTGGGAGAGGAGCCCAGGGCCCTTTGCTAGGCAACCTGGGTGGGAAGGCAGGAAACGCTATTTCCACCCCTGGGACATGGCAGCTGGAAGGAGGGTGACCCGGGTACTGGGACTGTGCCTTGTCCTTAGCCCAAGTGCAGGGGCACCCATACAGGCAGGGGTGGGGAGTCTGGCACAGCTCTGGCATGAAACCTCCGACTTTGTGACACAAGTTCCACTGGAGTGATAGACTGGGGAGTGAGGTGCTGAGCTCTGCCCAAAGCCAGCACCAGAGGCACCCAGCTGGGCATCCTGTGGGGCTGCTGTGACAGCGTGGGGCGCTCTGGCTGGCAAGAGGGGCTGCAGAGGCAGACACATGGGCAGAAGGGTGCAAATGCCAGCCAGGCATAGACACACTGGTAAGAGCAGGGGTGGGGAGAGTCAGGGCTGCAACCGCAGCCTGCTGGAGCCTGAAGAAAGAGGCAGTGGAGACAAAAGCCTTTCCCCACCCCAAAGCTAAAAAAACTCCTCAAGCTTCATGCCCTGGCTGGCCTGACCTCCCCAAGCCCCCAGTACCCCGAACCCTCAGGGTAATTCATTGCTGCTCACCCACTCCTGGGAACTGGGGAGAGTCCCATCAGAGCTGCAGCCACAGTTCCCCCACTCCGAATCCTAGCTAGAGCCTCAGCCCCCTCTAGCTCCACAAAAGTGGAGGGGAGGGGGCTGAGGGAGGCAGTGACCCGTGTCCCCCCTGTAGCATCACGCGTCTTTATTTATTTATCTGCTCTTTGTATGTACCATAGATGGGAGGCAGTGTGGGCGCGTGCAGGGTGAGATGGAAGTGCAGGGCGGGGGTGGGAAATCGTTTGGTTGGGGGGGGGTGATTTTTTTTTTTTTTTTAACAAAAAGCAGAAATTATTTAAAGATTATTTTAAAGCACAGCTTTTATGGTGATTGTTGTCCAGGATGAAGCAAGGGAGCGTGAGCATGGCCGATGGCAAGTGTGTTTTTGTCTCTTCACTGGATGTACCTCTCCTGGTTGGGGACACAGCCCAATAAATCCATTGTCTCCCCAGTGGGAGCTCAGAATCTGGTGTAGGGAGGGCAGGCAGGGATCAGGAGAGTTTACTGCACCCATTGTTAAAGGGCAGGTGGGGCTAGAGGGCATCATGTGCTTCTCTAGGAGCAAGGTTTGGTCACCCCGCTGCCCTCCACCAGAAGGGTGACATCTCTCTCCTCACTATTTCATCCATACCCAGGGGAGGTGGGCAGCTGCAGGCTGCGGGATTGACCCAGTCTACACGGGACCAGTGTCATTAGAGCCACCTGGAAACTAGGGCAAGTGGGGCAGGATGTAGTAGGGACAGCCACTGTGAGACTGCCAGGGATACCCCTCCACCCCAGTCTGGACTCACCACCTCAGTGCCTGTCCATCCTTCTGTAGCACCCCAATCACCACAACACCCATAACCCAGAAGATGGAGCCTGTATCCTGTACACAGGTTTCCAGTGTCACTAGAGTTAGTCAGTGCTGTCCCCCACGCCCTGTCAGCCCTCTCCCTCCTCTACCCCATCCCCATGCCAGCAGAAGGAAAGTCCACCAGCCAGCACCCCACCCTGTCCCAGGCACACACCTCTCTGAACACACCCTGCCCCATCTCCACGCTGCCCTGCCGTAGCTTCCTGGGCTCTGCTGGGATCAGGATCTCCCTAGGGCTTTCCCTGGATCCCCCAGCACGGCAAGTGTGAAGCAATTCGGCAGCAGGCTGTCAGCGAGGGCCCTCATCACCGCGCTAATTTAAAGGCTCTGCAAGGCGGCAGAGCTAATTTAATTAGGTTCTTATTACTGAGAAGGACAAATTGGTCCCCGGGGGGCCACGAGGTCAGGCTTTCGAGAAGTGCTTTATGGAGTGAAATTTCAATCAGGCTGTTGTCGCAGGCAGGGGGAGCCAGAGGCAGAGGATGCATACGGAGGGGATCTGCTCTTTGGAGCGCCCGCTGCGGGAGATCGTCTCCAGGTCCAGGTTTTTAGAGAGTGAGTGTGGGGGAAGAATTCTTTGCCCCATTAGGAGGATGCTGCAGGGTATATGGCAGCTGCTTTGGGATGGAAGCAGGGAAAGCAGGGAGGGCCTGGCTCTGAGCTGGCTTCAGGGCAGTGAGAGGGAGGGAAAACATCCGTAAGTAAGATGCTAGGGTCTTTCTGAAGCTCCATTAACTCCCCTACAGCTCCATAACCCCACATGAAAAGAATGTTGAGGACAAAATGATGTCCAGCTGACGGACAGGACTTATGGGGGTCTCTTCCTTGCCTGAATGTCATCCTCTGTCTTGTCACTCAGCCCCAGGAGAACCAGGACAGCCTGGGAGCTGCCCCACTGCCGGTGGGCACATGAAGCAGTCCCATCTCCCAGCGTGCCAGGGCCAGGCGAGGGGTTATCCCAGCAGGGTCCCAGCTGGGCAGTGATGGATGGGGATGCTGGTGGGTGGCCGGCAGAAGGGCTGGGCTGGAGGGTCCCACAATGGATGTCTCTCCATCAATTTGTCCTCATTACCATATAAATGGTGGGTGGGAGGGAGAGGAAGGGCATGTGGTGACAGGAGACACCCCCACATGTTCCCATCTGGGGTACATGTCCCCCCTCCCCATCCGTCCAGCCCTGTTAAACCAGCTCCGACAACTCCGGCCTCTAATTCAGCAGAAGAGAGGTACCACCCCCTATTCAGAGCCTTGAAAAGGCTACAGGGTCCGGCGCTGTTAACAAGGGGGGACATGGTCCCCGTCCCCGCCTCTCCCGTCTGTCCCTCGCCCCACGGCCTTCTGCCGTGGCAGCGCCGGCCAAGCTCATTCCCGGCTCCCGGTTGACCCGCTGGAAGCTGGGATCCGGGCAACGGAGTGCCAGGGCAGCACTGGGGCTGGGGAGTGGGAGCAGAGCCTCCTGAAAGAATCCCGTTTGGGGCAGCTTTGAGGCCGACAGCAGGGTGGGGTGCTGCCAAAGCTGCCCTGTGGAGGGGCCGCGGTTCCGGGCATGGTGGTGCTGTGTCCCCATCGTCCCTGAGCTCTGGGTCCAGTCAGGTCCCCATGGCCCGGGCGGTGACGTGATTGGGGAGTGGGGGTCACCCCGAAAGATCTGTGCCTGCGGACACCGGTACAGCACAGCAGCTTGCAGGGCCCCTCCTCCCAGCGAGGGCTGACCGAACCAGAGTCGCCCCCCAGAAATCCCAGGAGCAGCTGCCCTGCCCGGCCCAGCCCTGGCACTGCCCGCAGCAGGGGCTGTGCCAGCCCCCGCTCTCACTTGCATCACGGAATGAACCTGCTGGCTTTTCGGGGTGCTGCTGCTCCGGGAGCCGTGCCAGCCCCCCGCTCTCTGCAGCGCTATTCCGGCGGGAGGCGGGGTGTCCCAAGACACTGTCCCCGAGCCCACGGAGCCCCGAGGCAGCGTGATGTGTGCTGCTGAGCACATCCTGCACCCCGAACTTCCTCCACCAACCCCTCTGTCCCGAGCTCCCGACCTCTTGCCCCTCTCTCAACCGTGGCACCTGTGTGACAGCCCCACCACAGGTGCTGCAGAACCCCTCTGCCTGTGCGTGGCAGCTTCTCCAGGGCAGGGATGGAGGTGTTTTAGCAGGCAACAGCCTCTGGGTGTCAACCGGAGCCTGCTGTGCCTGTACAAACACGGCGGACAGACAGACACATGCACGCATCCCGCCCCCTACACATACCTTTATCCCCCGGAGAGACACCTGCCCATCACTGCACTGGACACCCATCAGCTCTCAGAATCGCCACCTGATGCCACAAGTTACTTTCTTTTCAGCTTGTATCCTTTATATCCCAGGAGCACTCACATGCCACTGCGTCCCTGTGTCCCTGATCTCTGTCCCCTCCAGGAATAAGCTGGAGGGTACATGCTACTACAGTGACAGCAAGGCACTGTGAGAACAACAGGATGGGCACACCATGGCAGTGCCCACCCCTGCAGCCATGCCCACCCCACATCTGCCAGCTGCAGAGAGTACTCTGGACCCTTGGAGGGGCCTGACAACCTCTCCCACCACACAGAGCAAGCCCTGCCAACCCTCCTGCTGGTGGGACACCCTTAGCTCCCGCTCCCACAGTTTGGGGTACACAGCTAACACGTCAAAGCCACCCTGTCCCTTCCCTTTCCCCCTGCCCCGTCACCAGGACACACTCAGTACCCACAGTGGGTCCCTGCTGCAGAATTGGCAGAACTGGGGGTGATGCTGGTGGTCCCCACCCTCCAAAGGAGTGAAAGGCAGGCTGGGGCAGCTGGGGACAGTGCAGGGGGCAGCCGACATCAGTTGCTAGCTCATGTCTCAGTAGGAGCTGGGGACTCCCAGTGCTCTGAGGGCACTCGGCAGGATACAGCCCCAGGGAAGCATCACCGCCATCCGGCACCGACTGCCACGAGCCGCTGCGTGGTGCCACAGGGGGTGTCGGGATGGGGGCTGTGTGAGTATGCAGCCACACGCTGGGGACGAGTCAGAATCTAATCAGGGTCCTTTTCCGTAATAAATCATTTGTCTTAATCCAACGCCCTCCCTCCTGCTCTAATAACTCCCAGCGCTGGGCCCCACAGCCACAACAATGCAGCTAATGGAACAATTTATTTTCATAATGGTGCTGGTGGGGAGAAGGGGTGGCCGGGGTGGGGGCAGCATGGTCTAGGGCAGGAGTTTCTAATTAGTGAATGAAATTTGATGTAAGGCTGGAGGAAGATGGATTTGCTTCCTGA